ACACACACACACACACACACACCCCTTGCCCCAGACTGTGACCCAGCTCTAAGTTGCTGCCCTCTTTCTTACCAGGAAGGGAAGGCGTATCGCAAGGCAAGTCCATGGCTGTGTTTTGCCATCTTGGGGAAGCCGGTGGTGCCACTGGTAAAGAAGATGACCATTGGGTCCGTGGTCTTTGACTTAATACAGGTGTGATCTGGGGATGCTGATCTACAAAGGGATTGAACAGAAAAGGAGAGAAGTCAGGTCTCCTGGATCCACCCTCAGGGTCAGCAAAAGACACAACATGAGGCTCAATGTCAGAAACCTGGTTTGTTTGTATAGATTTTAGAGAGAGGGAGGGAGAGAGAGGGAGAAAGAGACAGACAGAGAGAGAGAAACATGGATTTACTGTTCCACTTATTTATGCTTTCATTGGTGGATTCTTGTATGTGCCCTGACCAGGGACCAAACCCACAACCTTTGCATTCTAACCAACTGAGTACCTGGCCAGTGCAGAAACCGGTTTTGCAACACTGGAGGAAGAACTGGTCTCCAGGTCTGAAGCATCAAACAGAGTTTATGGGTGACTTGGGTAAGGAGACTGGCATTTCTTCATTTAAAAAATGGGAAAACACAGCCCATTTATTTTATAATTTAACAAACATTGAAATAGAACTTCCTCTTTCTGAAAATGCTCTAAATGACTTACAAATAAGAACTCATTCAATCTTCAGAGCAATCCTAAGAGGTGCCTATCCCCAACTTGTCATGCTCTCTTTGTGGATGAGGAAACTGAGGCTCAGAGAGGTTAGGTAACTTGCCTGAAGACACACAGCCAGCAATTGGCAGAGCCAGGGTTCAAACCCAGTGTGATGCATAGACTGTCCTCTTACTCACACAGCTAAGCTTCTTTTCACACGAACTAACTTTACAGGAATTTCACTCCATAACCTTGGTGATAAGGGGGGCGAAGAGAGATCGAGGGAGAGGGAGAGTGAAAGAAATATATGTGTACATCAGGTGTAAGCTCAAGCCTGCAGAGGAAAACTGCCTGCCCCTCAGTGGGCCTTGATTTCTGGGAGCTTCTACACTCAGTCTCCTTGGCCTGTGATGATAGGCGCCTGCTATGATTGGACGTGACCAATAAGCTTCCTCTGTTGTTCAAATAAACTGCAGATCATCCAAAATGCTGGAGGGAACACTGGCTCTTGTTGAGATATGGTACCATCGTGACTCTGGGCAACCTAAGGGATTTTTAAACAGTATTATTTATTTAGGTTTTTATTAACTCTCTGGCTTCATTTGTTTATTCAAATTATATAAAGAAAGTTTATCTAGAAAGCCACAGAGGTAGTAGAAGTGAGCCAGCTGGGCTGCATTGGCTCAGGAAACAAGTTCCGGGCAGAAGAAAGGCCCTTGGTTTTGAGGAGAGAGAAAGGCAAAGGTAGCGCCAGGGGAAGGTGAGGGCATGCTCCCTGGAGGGAGAGCCCAACTCCGGACCCTAGAGTCCAACACAAGGTGTGACGTCAGTGAAGTATTTGCCTTTTGGGGTTGAATAACATTTTACTTTAAAAATAGAAATGTTACTTCAAGAAAACAAAGCCAGTACAACTTATACGTTATAAACCAATGTTAGCTCAGAAAAATAAAACAGACAAAGAAAAGAAACCCAGCAAGGTGTGAGCTGTGGGTGGAACAGGGGGCTCAGTGGAACTAACCTAACAGGTGATCTGATCAAAAATTCCTGACCGGGCAGGGCATGGCGGGGAGTCAGGCCCCTGACACATAACTTCTCTGGTGAAAGGTTT